GCAGCTTGACTTCAGAGGGACGGCTTGATGGCAGGGTAGGACTTTGCAGAAGAGTCGTCTGGAGGTTGCTGGACTTCAGGGGAGGAATACCTTCCCTCCCCATCCCGTTTCCAGCTGAGAGCCACTTCCATCAGCACTAAAATCCTCTGCATTCACCTCCCTTCAATTTGTGTGACCTGATTTTTCCTGGACACTGAACAAGAGCTCGGGTGCCACAAGTGCAGACGCTAAAGGCTGTCACACGGACCCTCTGTCCTCGCAGGTGGAGAGCAACCACCTCATGAAAAGGCAGAGGGCCCACTGAGCTGTTTAACACCTAGGTCATCTGCAGACAGCAAAGCTGAATGACCCACTGTAATGCATGCCCTCTGGGGCTTTGGGGGTTGCAGATACTCCCCCACTAGTCATTGCCTTGGGCCCCCATGGAGTTTTGCTCCCATCAACACCCAGAAGCACTCGCTCTGGCTCCTGCACCCATTCACCTGTATGCTTCCTCTCCCACGAGCGGTTGAGAACTGTGGGCCGAGTAAGCGAGGCACTCCTGTCACTCCTGTCGTGAGGCCTGCAAAAGAGTCAGGGAAGATTCCCTGTTTCACTATTACAACTAAAAACCCATTTGCAGAATTCTGGCTTCCCATCTGTACAGTTCTGAGTTCTGCTGGTTTGGAGGTTTTCATTTCCAAGGGAAGAATGCTTCCATGAGGGGACATAAATGTTTCCACTGAATTGGAAGCGGAGACTTCCAAATATCCATTTTGGTCTACTTATGCTCTTGAACCAAAATAAGAAAAAGAAGAAGGAGAAGGAGAAGGAGAAGGAGGAGAAGGAGGAGAAGGAGGAGAAGGAAGGAAGGAGAAGAAGGAAGGAGAAGGAAGAAAAAATAGAGAAGGAAAGAAAAAGACATGACCACTGAGAATCCATACCCTTCAGGAATAAAGATTTGGGTCATCCTTAACAGGTAAAGTATTGTGACAAGCTGAGTTTCTGTCTGAGGGCAAAGAAAAGATGAAATGAGTAATGGGAGAATAAAGATGGAAGAAGAAACATATTTTGTGATGAGTTACGGAAAGGAGAATTATAGCAGCTATGCATATTTTCTTCTCTTCCTTTGTGTGTGTGTGTGTGTGTGTGCGCGTGCACATGTGTGCACAAGCATGTGTATGTACGGTATATAGATTCTCAATGAATGTATGTTAGCTATTTTCTTCTTTTCTCTTTTCCTTCCCTTTAGTGTTTTATACAAGTTTTGTCGATGGCTAACTTTACAATCTAGTCATTAGACTACAGAATATTCAGATGGCATTATACCAAATTTGAAGAACAACTAATATAGCTGACAGATGAATGATGTGACTGCCTTCCAGAGATGCATACAATGAATGTTGGGAATTTGTATCTCTTCTTGAGGAAAATGTGAGAATGTCTTCCTTTGTATGAAGGATAATTACATCTTGTAAGAAATATAGAGTCTTCCTCCTTCTCTTATCTTTCTCTTGCTCTGCTGCCCAGGCTGCAGTGCAGTGGCGCGATCTTGGTTTACTGCAACCTCCGCCTCCTGGGTTCAAGTGATTCTCCTGCCTCGGCCTCCTGAGTAGCTGGGATTACAGGTTCCCACCACCACACCCAGCTATTTTTTTTCTTTTTGATTTTTAGTAGAGACAGGTTTTTTACCATGTTGGCCAGGCTGGTCTCAAACTCCTGACTTCAGATGACTTGCCCACCTCAGCCTCCCAAAGTGTTGGGATTACACGCGTCAGCCACTGGGCCAGAGTTGTGTTTCTTGTTGCATGAGAGTTCAAATATTTGTAGAAGAGTGTGTGTGTGTGGATGCTGAATAGCCAAAGGGGTGAGTAATAGCCAGTTAACTAAGCTGTTATTATCTCTGTTTGAAGCCCGGCTTTCTTACATTCTGCTTTGTGATGCTAACGCTGAATCTTGAAACTGTATTTTCATTTTGCTAGTAGCTCTGTTAGATTCTGCCAATAGGGCGCACTAGAGAGAGAGAGATGGCTGGCACCTGTGAGGCTGGAGGGCAAGAAGGGGTTGCTCTTTTTTGTTCTCTCCCTAAGAACTTTTTGACTTCTTCCCGTTCTGGTGAGTTTGTCACCCTGACAAAGGCAGCTTATTTCTGTAAGCTGAATCCAGTTTGCAGTCTCCCCAACATTAGCAGAACCAGCCTCATTATGCCTCCTCTGCGACTTTAACACTACCTGGCTGTGCCCCTTCTTCAGAGGTTTGAGCTTCAGCTGCAGGAAGCCCCTCCGCTGAGCTTCTAAACTGTTGTAGTTTTGAGAGGTGACAACGTGCTAGCAGCCCTCGTTCGCTCTCGTCACCTCCTCGGCCTCGGCGTCCACTCTGGCCGTGCTTGAGGAGCCCTTCAGCCCTCCGTTGCACTGTGGGAACCCCTCTCTGGGCTGGCCGAGGCCGGAGCTGGCTCCCTCTGCTTGCGGGGAGGTGTGGAGGGAGGGGCGTCCGTGGGAAGTGGGGCTGTGCCGGGTGCCCGCAGGCCAGCGCGGGCTGGCAGGCCCCATACTCAGAGTGACCAGCCGGCACTGCTGGCCCTGGGCAGTGAGGAGCTTAGCACCCGGGCCAGCAGCTGTGCAGGGTGCGCAGGGTCCCCTAAGCACTGCCGGCCTGCCTGTGCCGTGCTTGAATTCTCCCTGCGCCTCAGCCGCCTCCCCATGGGGCAGGGTTCAGGACCTGCAGCCTGCCATGCCGGAGCTGAGCCCCCTGCCCCCACCCCCCCACCCCCGTGGGCTCCCGTGCAGCCTGAGCCTCCCTGAGGGGCGCCACCCCATGCTCCGTGGCGCCAGGTCTCACTGACTGCCCAAGAGCTGAGGAGTGCGGGCATGTAGCAGGGAATTGGCGGGCAGCTCCACCCACGGCCCCAGCACGGGATCCACTAGGCAAAGCCAGCTGGGCTCCTGAGTCCCGTGGGGACTTGGAGAACTTTTATATCTAGCTGGAGGATTGCAAATGCACCAAGCAGCACTTTGTGTCTAGCTCAAGGTTTGTAAATGCACCAATCAGCACTCTGTGTCTAGCTCAAGATCTGTAAACCCACCAATCAGTGCTCTGTGTCTAGCTAATCTAGTGGGGACTTGGAGACCTTTTGTGTGTAGCTAAAGGATTGTAAATGCACCAATCAGCACTCTGTGTCTAGCTCAAGGTTTATAAACGCACCAATCAGCATCCTGTCAAAATGGAGCAATCTGCTCTCTGTAAAATGGGCCAATCAGCTCTCTGTAAAATAGACCAATCAGCAGGATGTGGGTGGGGGTGTGGGTGGGGGTGTGGGTGGGGGTGTGGGTGGGTGGGGGTGTGGGTGGGGGTGGGGGGGGGTCAGATAAGGGAATAAAAGCAGGCTGCCCCAACCAGCAGTGGCAACCTACTTGGGTCCCATTCCATCTTGTGGAAGCTTGGCTTTTTCACTCTTCAGAATAAATTTTGCTGCTGCTCACTTTTTGGGTCCGCGCTGTGTGTATGAGCTGTAACACTCACTGCGAAGTCACCGCGAAGTCGCTGTGTGTATGAGCTGTAACACTCACTCACTTCACTCCTGAAGTCACCAAGATCATGAACCCACCAGAAGGAACAAACTCGGGACACACCATCTTTAAGAACTGTAACACTCACCGTGAGGGTCCGCGACTTTATTCTTGAAGTCAGTGAGACCAAGAACCACCAATTCCAAACATAGTTTCAGCCACTTCTCTTTTGTTCTCCCAAACCTAGATTTGCCACTTCCATGCTTTCTTAGTGTTCTGTTTCCCTTTTCTGTTACCAAGTTAACAATTTTTTCTACTTGGTTCACAATTCTGAATGTTGAGTTTTCTGTGATGTGGGACTTCCATCGCCACTCAAGATGGAGTAACAGGTGCTAGATTTGACTTACCTGAAACAACCAAAAAACCCAGACAAAATATATGAAACGAATGGTGTTCATGACACTGGAAATTAACTAGTGAAGGACAGTGATGTCTGAGAGAAGGGAAATAGTGGAGATGAGCCTCTGATTGCCCGGCTTACTGCATTGAGGGTTTTCAGGCTGCAGTGTAGGGAGGGGAACCCAGGCAGAGCCCAGGGATCTCCTTGAGCTCCAGAAATGGAGCTGGGAGTTGGCCAGGTGGTGGAGTTTGCATAATAGAGCATCAGAAAGAGCTTCTCTTCGAAAGACATAAAGAGAATAAAGATACAAGCCAAGGTCTGGGAGAAAATATTTGCAAATTGAATATCTGATAAAGGACTTTAGTCCGAAATATATAAAGAACTTTCAAAGCTCAATAATTAGAAAACAATCCAGTAAAAAATGGGCAAAAGATTTAAACAGAACCTTTACCAAAGAAAATATACAGATAGCAAATAAGTCCATGAAGAAGTGCTCAACATCGACAGTCTTTAGAAAAATGCAAATTAAAACTACAATGAGATACCAGAACACACCTATATCATTATGTCTAAAATTTAAAAGATTGATATCACGTGTTGGTGAGGGTTTTGAGGAACTGGTGCTCTCACCCTGCTTGTGGAAATGTTAAATGCTATACTTTGAAGAAGCAATTTGGCAGTTTTTTCTGAAGTTAAACATATATATATATATATATATATTTTTTTTTTTTTTTTTTTCTTTTTCTTTTTTTGAGACTGAGTCTCCCTCTGTTGCCCAGGCTGGAGTGCAGTGGCATGATTTCTTGGCTCACTGCAACCTCTGGCAACCAGGTTCAAGTGATTCTCGTGCCTCAGCCTACCAACTGGCTGGGAGTACAGGTGCGTGCCACCGTGCCCTGCTAATTTTTATATTTTTAGTAGAAATGGGGTTTCGCCATGTTGGCTAGGCTGGTTTCAAACTCCTGACCTCAAGCAATCTGCCCGCCCAGAGTCCTGGGATTACAGATGTAAGCCACTGAGCCCACCATTGAAGTTAAACATACACGTATCATATGACCCAGCAACTCCACTCCCAAGAGAAATGAAAGTGCATATCCTTACAAAGACTGGTGCCAGATGTTCACAGCAGCTTTATTGGTATTAAGAACAACAACAAAAAACTAGAAACAACCCAAATATCCGTCTACAGGCAAATGGATAAACAGTCTGTGTTATACACATACAATGGAATACTGTTGAGCAATAAAAAGGCATAAACTATTGAAACATGCAAAAAATGGATAAATCTCAAAATATGTTGACAGAAAGAATCCAGACCAAAAAAAGAGTACATGTTATATGGCTCCACTTATATGAAATTCTAGAAAATGCAAACTAATCTACAGAGACAGAAAGCAGATCAGCAGTTGCTTAGAATGGAGAATGTAGGTAGGGGCATGAGAGAAGGGTTGTAACGTGGTTTCTCTGAGGGGTGATGGATGTTTATTATCTTGATTGTGGTGATGGTTTCTCGAGTACACGTGTACATAAAAACATAAGATTGTATACATTAAGTATGTGGTTTACTGTATGTAAATTTTACATCAACAAAGGTGTTAAAAATGGAGAATAAAACAAATCAGAATGCTCTTAGGATGGTGCTGTGAGACAAAACTGTACAGGTGTTCCTTTTAGCAGCCAACAAATCTACTTCTCTCCTGCATCCATGGCCTTGAACTGCATTTTCACTAGAGAACTTTCAGCTTGGGGCAAAAAATATTTAGCTCTGGGTGTGGGGGAAGATTTTTGTTACTTCCTCCTGTAGCCTATATATGTGCAGAGAGGAAGAAATAGAGTTCACAGCCATAGTCCTCAAATGAAGAAGGAGCAAAGGAGTGATAGGGTCACTAACTGGACAGAGCCCGAGAATAAACGGACAAGAGTTTACATAGGCAGATGGACGTCCTTCTGTCTATGATATGCTTAGCATAGGTGCCGTGGTGGCAGGGCAGAGGGACGCAGGCTTCTCTGTATAACATGTTCTCTTACTGCCGTGTATCAGAAGAGGTTTTATAATCATAGTTGTTTTCAGAAAGAACAAAATGAAACTTTCTAGTGGCATTCATAAAGACATAAAAATAATGGGTTGTGTAGCTCATCAAGATCCGTTGAGGCAGGGTGCTGTGGCTCATGCCTGTAATTTCAGCACTTTGGGAGGCTGAGGCGGGCAGATCACTTGAGGTCAGGAGTTCGAGACCAGCCTGGCCAACATGGTGAAGCCCCATCTGTACTAAAAAAACCCCCAAAATTAGCAAGGCATGGTGGCAGGCGCCCATAAACCGGCTGCTCAGGAGACTGAGGCAGGAGAATCACTTGAACCCGGGCAGTGGAGGTTGTAGTGAGCTAAGATTGCACCACTGCACTCCAGCCTGCGCAGTAGAGTGAGACTCTGTCTCAAAAACAAAACAAAACAAAACAAAAATGATCCATTAGTGAGTTTGTCTGTGAGAAGCAAGGGCCATTTTCCCCTTCCACTTTTCATTACCACTACTGAGATTATTGGTATTGTGGATACTCCTTGTGTGTGTACAGAAAAAAAAAAAAGAGAGGCACTACATAGAGTGGCTAGAAACAGAGATAAGAGAAACTACAAGAGAGAAACAGAATCAGGTCTCTGGTTTTTTTTTTTTTTCAAATTAGAAAAGGACTCAGCGTCTAGACACAACAAAGAAGCGCTGGAAATTCAGTGATCAAAGATGCTTCATGTAATGACTTTTTTTTTAGGCAAGAATCTGGTAGCTTGATAGTAATTAGCAGGGAGAGGTGTAAAAGAAGCATATTAAAATAATATTATATCACTGGGCTCCTTTGTCAGTAGGTCAGGTTATGACCTCAAATGGCAGTATAACTATTATCGATGTGTAGCATTTTGACTTAAAAAATGCTTGAGAGTAAAATCACCTGAGCTATCCATAACATATTAGTGTCCATATCCTTTAGATCACCAGAAACAAAAAAGTAAGAAAGCATCACCTGCATTTTACTATTGTTAGGATACACAAATCAAAATAGCATATAAGACAACTCATATTTAAGTCAGAATTTTTTTTTCTTTTTTGGCCTGACTCCATGAATTTATGAACTTGTGTAAGACAAGGAAAAAGCATTTAAAAAATGTCTCTGGGCTGGGCGAGGTGGCTGACATTTGTAGGTGGATTGTTTGAGCCCAGGAGTTCGAGACCAGCCTAGGCAACATGGCGAAAACCTGTCTCTACTAAAAATACAAAAAGTTAGCTGGGTGTGGTGGTGTGCACCTGTAGTCCCAGCTACTTGGGAGGCTGAGGTGAGAGGATGGGTTGGGAGGTAGAGGTTGCAGTGAGCCGAGATTGTGCCACCCAGCCTGGGTGATGATAGAGTGAGACCCTGTCTGGGAAAAAAAAAAAAAGTCTCTTGGTTGGTTTCAAGGAATTGCGTAAATGAATACCTGGGAAATGCTTTGGAGTATTGTGGAGTATAAATAGGAAGGTATCTTAAATGTTTAGCTTGAGAGGGCAACAATAATAATAATAGCATTTCCAGCTTATGGAAGATTGGTAATTTCTATTCACCAAAATAGTATGTATTTAATTATATTATAGATTAAAATATTAGAGTGCATAGAAATAGTATTACAACTGATAATCTTTTTAAGATTACACAAGTTTTGAAGGGCAAAACATATGGTGGGCATTTGCTATTTGGCCATTCAGCATCTGAAACCCCTATGTTAGAATTCCCTACGTTTAAAACCTAGTTGGTAGAGGCGTAAAAATCCCAGATGCTTGCTTTCCCTCGCTTGGTATGCTCGTTAGTATGCAGGCTTAACCTGGATTTCACCATTCGGATCTAGCTGCACCAGATTTTCACTTGGAAGCTAGTAAAGGGAAACAAAACAAACAATAGAATCCGCAAAGCAGAAAAAATAACTAAACCTAGGAATGGCAGCGCTCTCTTTCGCTTTGGATGAGTCAACTGTAGTGGTTGTTGGGAAATAAAGTTTCAGGTAAAGAACTAGCAGCCATGCTGTGGGGGTGGCAGTTGTGAGTTCTGATTCCCTGCAGAGAGTCACCCAATCTTTTAAATTAACCTATCTGATTAAAAAAAAGGTAATGACTGTTCATTATACAAAATCTGTAGGATACAGAAAATGTGTATGGGTTTCTGTGTATGTATGTATGTGTGTATATATATATATATATATATATATATATACACACACACACACATTTAGGGTTTTCTTCCTAAAATTGGGATCATACCCTATAGTTTTATGTCTTTTAATGCAATTTTTGATATTTTGTATGCCTTTCTTTGACAATGCAATTTTAAATAACTACATCATTTAACTGTCTTCTACTGAATATTTAGACTCTCTAATATTTTGCTGTCAGAGGTTTCAAAGAATATTCTTGCATATAAACTCTACTATACCTCTAATTGTTGCTTTAGGATAAATTCCTAGATGGCAGATTACTAAAACTCAGTGAAATCTGAGCCTTTTTGAGGCTCTTGATATGGTTATAAAGTTGTTCTCCAGAGGTGGCTGACCCACTCTTGAATCACTAATGGGTTTTGAATAGAAAGCATTGACACTGAACTTTAATAAAACTGTAATGTCAGACATGATTTTTTTTTTTTTTGAGACAGAGTCTCACTTTGTTGCCCAGGTTGGAGTGGCAGTGGCAAGATCTAGGCTCACTGAAACCTCCACCTCCTGGGTTCAAGTGATTCTCCTGCCTCAGCCTCCCAAGTAGCTGGGACTACTGTTGCATAAAAATATTTTTTAAAATAATGACTATTGTAGCTGTTATGAAAGCATACTACTTGCCTGACATGGCTATGTGCTTTAGAGACATCATCACATTGACTGATTGACTGAGACAAGGTCTTGCTCTGTCACCCAGGTTAGAGTGCAATGGTGTGATCATGGCTTACTGCAGCTTCAGTCTCCCAGACTTCAGCAATTCTCCTGAGTAGCTGGGACTACAGGCATGCATCACCACACCCGGCTAATTTATTTTTATTTTTAGTAGAAATGGGATCTTGCTACATTGTCCAGGCTGATCTCAAACTCCTGAGCTGAAGCAATCCTCCTGCCTTGGCCTCCCAGAATGCTGGGATTATAGGCATAAGCCACTGCACCTGGCTGACATTATCACATTTAATCCTCATGCTGATACTTTTTACTGGTACTTTCAACCTCATCAATAAAATGGGGGGATATGGCCAAATATTTTGCTAAAGGTCACATAACTCATGAAATGTGGACTGAGGAATCAAGCACTGTCTTTTTTTTTTTCCTTTTTTTGACTTCAAAGTTCATTTTCTTTCCTTTAAACCATTGTAACCCAAGAACTTAAATTCCTTGATCAGTTTTGAAATGAATACTTGGGAGGAAGGAAGTATAAGTGAATTGGAAGCAGTAGATGGCAGGTGGAAAACGAGTTAGAAAGCATAGTAAGTCTTGGTTAAAAGAATTTACCAACTGACAAAACACAGTGTTAGCAGGGCGTTTCAACCAATGAGTATTTATTAAAAGCCAGAGGTGCACCAGGCACAGCTGTCCGCTAGACTAACAGATACAAACGATGTAACCAATTCACTTATTAGCTTATCTGATTAAATAAAATACATTTCATAGAAATGATTATCAAATGCATTGCGGATAGAAACAGAATATCCTTTATACTTACAGATCTTATGATACCCTAAACAATTATTAATAAAAACCAGCCAACCCATATGGTAAATAGCATACTACCAGTTATTTTATTTTAGTCAGCAAAAGATAAAAACATACAAATTTCATGCTGAAATGGATTTTAGCATTATTGAATGCTGAATACAGACATCCTGTTTCAAAACTACTATCATGGTCCACCAACAGTCTTAAAAATTCAGTGTTTTTCATCCTGTATTAAATCACTATATACCTTTTGGCTTAAAAATTAGGTTTGGTTTCAACATAAGTTTAATTTAGTACTTCAGTCACATGCCTCACAGATTCTTGACCAGTTCAATTAACTATTAGTTACAGCAACAAAACAAAACATAAACAGAATGTTAAATCCACCTTGCTTGATATTCTTGCCAAAAAGGAATTGAGAAATTAAGATACACAGGTGATTTAAACCAGAACATAACAGGAGGACTAAAAAAAAAAAGAAAAAAAAAAAGACAAAATGTAGATGTTACTTGTTTGAAGCAAACCTGTCCACTTAGAGCCATTTATTGCCTTTTTCAGACTTGTGGCTAATTCTTGAAAGGACCACATTGAGTTCGTCGGTATATGATGTATCCTTTAGTTTGAAAGTCGTTAAGAAGGGTGTAAGGGAGAGGCAGGAGGGTGGGAAGGATGAACAAGGCACAGGGTGGAGTGTTTGCTGATGCCATTATGGTAATTATCCAAGAGAGTGTGTCCGCTGGGCCCTTCCTGAGACCTCCAGAGATGGGTCTGTTTTTTCAGGCAGCAGCAGCAAAATCTTCCTCAGAGAGTCAAGGTCAACTTTTATTGCACAAGAACCAAAATCATTTCCCTCCCCACTTTCCTGAGCTGGAGACCGCCACATGCAATGTCTGGATTCTCATCTGTTTGCGCCTCTGACCAGCAGGGCGCACTCAAACAAAACGCCCCGGGAAGCACCTTCTTCAAAGGGAAACATGAGGTATTCCGAAGGTCCAATCAATCTGGTCGATCAGTCACCATTCTCAAGCAGCTTCTGTAAGTTATTTTGTATCTTGAAATAAAAGAAAAGAAGCTCCTATTATTAAATAGAATGGAATATATTAAGGGCATATTTGCTATAGTCTATATAGCGTTCTAGATTATTCCACTTTGAATAAAAAGCTACAAAAGGGTTAAATTTAGATGAGGCAAATAGATGCTTTTTCATAAACTAGAACTCTGGCAATCCACTTTTTCTTTGGGACATGGTCTCACTCTGTCACCCAGGCTGGAGTGCAGTGATGTGATCATGGTTCACTACAGCCCTGACTTCCTAGGCTCAACTGATCCTCCCACCTCAGCCTCCCAAGTAGCTGGGACTTCAGGTGTGCACCATCATGCCTGGCCAATTTTTGCACTTTTTGTATAGACGGAGTTTCATCATGTTTCTCAGGCTGATCTAGAACTCCTGGGCTCAAGTGATCCTCCTGCCCCAGCCTCCCAAAGTATTGAAATTACAGGTGTGAGCTACCATGTCCAGCTTACAATCTACTTTAAAATGAGAGAATATAGTGCTTTAAAAAAAAAGAGAGAATGGCAGAAAGACGAAAATATCAGTAGAGACTGAGATAAATGAGACGAAAGAAAAAGAACAAGGAACTGGCAACACCAGTGTGACCCAAATGCATTAGAAGACAATAGGAAATTGGTCTTTACACAACCCATTTGATGGTTTTAATCAGACAAATGCCACGTAATAATGTTTAACACTCCTGTTACTCCGATTAGCTATTATTATTTAACATTTCCAAGAAGGTTGTGGATTTCACAGGGACAGAGACCAACCACATCAGATGTTTGGATCTTAAGACAGGTCCAATGCTGGACATCAAAAATGTTCTCAGTAAATGACTGTTGAATAAAGGAACTTGTAAGAATTCAGAGCGGCTGGGTGCTGTGGCTCATGCCTGTAATCCTAGCACTTTGGGAGGCCAAGGTGGGTAGATCACGAGGTCAGGGGTTCGAGACCAGCCTGGCCAACATGGTGAAACTCTGTCTCTACTAAAAATATACAAATTAGCTGGGTGTGGTGGCGGGCGTCTGTAATCCCAGCTTCCCAGGAGGCTGAGGCAGGAGAATTGCTTGAACCTGGGAGGTGGAGCTGGCAGTGAGCCAAGATTGTGGCACTGTACTCCAGGCTGGGTGAAAGAGCAAGACTTTGTCTTGCGGGGGAAAAAAAAAGAATTCAGAGCAAGGAATTCTCAACAACCAGCCCTGTGATGGGAGTAGAAACCTTGCAGATCAAAAGAAAGAACATATTGTTTATTAGAGGAACAGTCTGTGATGTCCTATGGGTGTTCTCAGGTGAGTGAGGAGGAAGGGGACCTGATATGTAAGTGCCAGCAAAGGCATGCCTGCTCCTGAGTCACACAACACCACACAAAGACAGGCTTTACACATGAAACCATGGGCCAGGGAGCCGAACTAGCAGGATGAGTTATGTGGGTAGTAAGCGGTGGAGCAGGGATAAGAACAAAGGCCTGACTCCAATATTTATGCTCTTTCTGCTATACTGTTCCACCATTAATTCCACTTCCAGAACTAAGAAAATAAGTGTTTACTTCAGTTCCCATAAAAGACATTGCCTTTCCCCCCCACTTTCCTGCTTTGTTTCTTCCTCATGTATCCCTCAGGACGAAAGATAAATGGAAAAACAGGAGTGGGAGGTAGAAAAAGGGATAAAACAAACAACTGATATCCCAAATCCACAAAACACACCTATGATGACACACACACAAAACCCAAAAGTAAAACAAAGGAGGGAAATAAGCAATTTACATAGGAAAACCCAAATGGCCAATAAATATATGAGATGTTCAGCCTCAGTAATAATTACGAAAATACAATTGAAAACCACAATGAGATCCAGCTTCACCCTATCTGACTGGTAGTGGGAAGGCTGAATGGACTAGGATGGTACTTCGGGAAGAAACTTTGAGGAGACATTTGAAGACAGACTTCACGGGATTTGCCAACTAGTCAATCAGTGGCAGGTGAAAAGAGGGAGTTAAAAATTATGCTTAGATCGCCAATGAGGATGACTGGAAAAGCAGTGATGCCATGAACAGAAATAGGGAAGTTATAAGCACAGAAAGATCATGAGGCTTAGACATCACTGGCCCCCGAAGGCGAGAAGAAGGAATTGCTGGTATGGAGTATAAGACCTCCACGGTGTGGAGCTGCTATTTCACCGGCAGGCTGTGCTGCACTAGCGTCCAGCTGCCTCTGAGGAAAGGTGCAGATGAGTCAAAAAGAGCACGGGTGTGGCCTGGTACCTCTTTTTTAATACTTAGGTTCTTTTGAGCAATGTGTGCAACTTCTAACTTTTTAGAACATCAACACATGCATTTTGGCCCCAAATCCACTTTTTACTGAATCAGTTTCTGCTTTGAGACAAAGGTGGTCTCCACCGGTGCTCCTGTAAACCTCCCCGGCCTCCCTGTTAGGCTGTCTGAACCCTGCACAAGACCCGAGGCTGCTGGCCTGCTGTGAACAAGCCCTTCTGTTTTCAGTTCCCTGATTACAGAACGTGGTGTCCTGGCCGGGCCCGGTGGGAGAGTGGGAAGAAACACAAAAGAAGGCAGCAGGATCCCATGTGTTTCTAATCCAAAGAATATCACTGGTATGTCAGAGTGAACAAAATTGAAAATGAATACTACTCCATTCTCTGGGTTGCATGAAAGCCAAACATTTGTAAGCATTTCATTAAAAAAAATCATTTTTCTTCAATTCTCAGAAATTAATGGTTTAAAAAGGAAAAAAAGCTAACCCATACCTTCTCTAGGTTGATTCTCGATGTAAGAACTTTCCACATTTGCCCATAAATACAATGATTTAATATGAATTATCTGACCTGACTTGGTTTAGAACGTAAGTTTGGAAATTCCTTTGCTTTTAATACTTTAGCTATTAAATACTAACATTGAGTGTAGAAAAACAAAGATAATTTTACTCATTTGTATTTAATATGAAATTTTACTAATTTGTATTTAATATGAAGAAATACATCTTCCCAAGTAAGCATAACTGTACTATGATGTAAAGCTACCAAATACTGGGCATTTGTGACAGCAGTTCTAACTGAACACTGGATTCTTCTCTCTAAGCCTTTCCTGAAGGATTAGAGTAAAAACAAAGTAGTTATCAGATAAAGGAGAAGAAAATAAGACATGTAAATCAGGTTTATTTCTGGGATATTTCTGGCATGCCTATCTTCTCCAGCTCACTCTCCTGCTGCCTTCTAAGAATGCCACAAGCTAAGGACAGATTTGCCCTAGCGTTGTTTGGACTGTAGACACTTTGAGATAAAGGTACATCTGTGGCCTTATCAACAAAGCCTAAAGCTGAATTCTGAGGAACAGTAAAGCAGAGAGCTTCTAAGCACAACTTTGCAGTCAGACAGGCCTGGTTCAGGTTCTAGATCTGCTGACTTTATTTACATATTTTTCTTCTAATGTTCTCTCAGCAGACTTAAGTCTGCTGCCTTTCTAGGTGTGTTACTTTCAGCAAGCTAATTTGATACTCTGATTCTTCTCCTATCAGATAGGGAACAATGACGCCTATCTTCCATGGTTCTAATAGGGCTTACATGCAATATTTTATGTATGGGAGCGATCAGCCTGGGTGGAGTTGGGGCTGTACTTTCTGGCCAAGCCAGTGGTTGGTCTCCAGTTGACTCCCTACTACGTCCCTACACTGAGCTCTGATGTCAGAGGTCACTTACTATTGGGCCCTGTGCTATTAAGTAATATGTCTAATCAAGGAGGAAAAACAAAAGACCCGCAAGACTATGTATTTCAGGGAAAATGAGATTAAAACTTGTTTCTTTGTGGAAATAAAAAATATTTTTCACATTTACTATGAAAAGCCCCCTGCCCGGGTTGATCATGTAGGTTTATTGCGGCACACTAACGGTGTCTGAGTGTGTAATCCCTGACCTGACCTAGGACAATCAATAGGCACTACTGTGACTGCCCCCATACACAGGAAAGAAATAGGTCACCTTTTCTAATTTCACTATGTTAGCTGTAAGCTCTTGACAGAGAACTTCCACATTGAATTGTACTTGTGATCCCAGGCCAGATGGTGCTGCCTGTCTGTAAGAAAAAAGAGAAAAATTATTAAGGGCAGGGATGACAAGGAAAGAAGTGGAATGAACACATTTAAAATTGATTCGAACAGAAAATTGGTTTATAATAGAAGAGAGTGAACATTTCATTTGTTAATATTAGACAAAGCCCTGCAGTAATCCGCAACTCCAGGCTAGATGTTTAGGGAACTAATTCCTAAAGGCTCAGCTGGAAATCTCTTAAGCTATTTTTAAGTGGATATGGTGTGTTTCGGCTTCCAAACAAAAATCAGGCAATTATTTTCAAGCACATGGTTTCTTAGAACCCTTTTATTAACCCCTAATATCCTCTCTGTCTCTACCAGAGCATAAACTTACAAGAATGATTGCACTTTTCAGCTATTTATACTAGAACTTTAAAAGTTTAGGAATGTCTTTATCTAGTTAATCAAATGTGCCTTGAAATGTGAGACTTTTGTAGTTCCTTCTTTGAGATTTATCATACAGCTATAATTGTCCTTGTCTTATAATCAGGCATGAGCCACTGTGCCTGGCCTGGAGTCACTTCTTGTCTTTATGTACATTAACTTTTTGAACAAGATGGGAGAAAGTAAGGGCAGAGTATGAATCCATAACAAACTGTTTATTAGGCTTTTGTATTTTATTAGTTCAAGTGTATATTTATGGTTCAAAAATAACCTGTATACCTGCATACATGTAAGCCACCTAAAGGTAATTCCTACAGAGTAAAGAAAGGTCCTAGAATGGTATAACACAGTATTTCTCAAAGTACAGAGCTCGGACCATTGCCATCAGCACGACCTGGGAACTTGCTGCAAATGCAAATTCTCAGGCCTCATGCCAGACCTACTATATCAGGCACTCTGGAGATGAGCCCTGAAATCTGTTTAAACGATTCTAGATAATTCTGATGCAAATTAAAGTTTGAGAGCCACTGGTAGACTGAGGAGCCCGTGGTTTTTGTAGTTATATACACCTGCAGCTGATTCTGCAAACCGTAAGACATTAAACTAATTATTACTCTGAGTCTCAGTTTCTTCATCTGTAAAATGGGAATAACAGCTCTATTCTAAAGTTGTGATGAAAATGTAATGAGGAAAAATCATTTGTATTTGTATGTGTATGTATTCATTCTAATAGAGTCTTTAGCATGTGGTGGATACTCTCAGGAAATATCTCTACTTCAAAAACTTGGGCTAAATGTACACTTTCTAACATAGCATAAATTATTTCACTTTTTAGGCAACGTGTCAAAATCTTCATGTAAATAGGTTTAAAGAAAAGAGCTCTATGTCTGAAAAGGTTTAATTAGGCCAGGCATGTTAAAAAAAAGACTGATGGAAAATCTTCACAGACACATTCAACTAATTACTAGTCACATTGATCTTGACAGTGGTCAAGAGTTTTGTAAATAAGTGAGTTAATATAAAAAGTTATACATGATCAAATGTGCCGAGTTTCTTGAATTGCTTCTTTCTCTGAGTGTCTTGGTTAACTGCCATTTTACTAAGGTAAACTTGCATAGTTTAAGAAATGGGGCAAGGTCACAACTGCATCTTAGCATATTAGAGCAAGATAATATAAAATGAGGCTTGTTTCTTGCCTTCTTACTAGCAACATTACAACAACTCCAAAATAGTACAGGGTTAGGTCATCCATTTCTAGACCCTCCTACCTTTTTACTTTCCACATATACACTTAACAAAATATCTCATACAGAATGTATCTCCAATTAATGTTTACTAAGAAGGATGCTAAGTTCTGGTCAATTATTACATTAAGCAGAAAGGCAAGCAGATGACAGCACTAGAGGCAATTAGCTTACTCAGTATTATGGGTGTCCACAATGGAGGTTAGTAACCCCAGCTGCTCCTCCAGAGTATTAATTCTGTATCTCATATAGAAGGTCGAGATGATTAGTGCACAGACACTGGAAAGGGATGAAAGAGAAACTTTCATTAGGTTAATGGCCAGGATCTGATGTTCATAAAACAACTCAGTGCCAATGTGATACACTTGAGGCAAGGCATTTTCCAAAATAACTTGGTAAAGAGATTTTAAAAACATCCTTTCTAAACAGGCTGATGCTTGTTATAAAACTTACAGCTAGAAGAGACTTAAAATCCTCTAGCCCAAGTCCCTCAATTTGCAAATAATGGCCCTTCTAATAGCATTGGTCAGAGCCAGACCCAAGTTGGAGTAGCGAGCCAGCGTTCCTCCTCCCTGCGGTACTACCGTCCTCTGCTAGAAGAGCCTGGGCAGACAGTCCCAGTCGTGTTCTCTGGTGACTCCCTCCTTTATCTGGAAACTAGACTGGGCATATTTTCCTTGGTTGGGAGGAACAGCCTAGAACTGGGTCAGGCAATTTTCAAAAGAACAATCGGTTACACACTGGAAGTTAAAAAAGTCGATGCCTACATTTTTGGTAAAGGGGATGAGGATAACATTTTCAAGTTGTGTTGGCCCCTGTTCAGGGGACATGGGACAGATGGCAAAACAAAATTACAGCTAGATAGAAGGAATAGGTTCTAGTGTTGAATACCACTGTAGAATGACTAAAGTTAACAATGACAGAGTTTCAAATAGCTAAAAGAGGATATTGAATGTTCTCAACACAAAGAGATGATAAGGGTGATGGATATGCTAATTACCTGGATCTGATGAGTATACATTATATGTATCAAAACATCACTATGTACTCCATAAATATGTACAATGATTATATGTCAAAAAAATAAAAACAATAACAAGGGTAAATATATTTCATAATTTACAGAGCAATTTCCCAACTAATGGTACCCACTCAGAACTTAGTCCTCTGCAGGGTTTGGCACAACCACGAAAATGTGACCTAAGCCTAAGGAAAAAAAGCTGAAGTAGGAGACAGAAATTGTCAAAGTAAAGATGTGGGTCACATTTCAGACAATTGAGATTTACAGTCGGTCTCGGCAATGTGAAGAGATTACTCCTTTAGCGAATGAAATCATTTTCTTAGTCACAGTAAATTCATGTACTTACACAATTGCATAGAATATAAGAATATGGTGAAGCATGGGACATTTCTGAGACTTGACTTTATGTAAGATTCCAACAGTTTCTGACAGACCTGTTGGGTGGAAAACAAAAAACAACTGTTTAAAACCATAACACACTTCTTTTATCCAGCAATATCCCTATATAGGGTACTTGAGAGAGGTAATTATTCCCAGGTAAAAGAAATCAGAGAAAATATCCACTGAAGCCTCCCAGTTGTCATTTTAACCAGTAGTTACAATTCCTTCCAACACAATTCATTGATTTACACACCTATCCACAGCCTTCTTTGTGTCAAGCATTGTGCTGGAATCAATGGTGAACAATATAACAATATCCTTGCTCTCTTACCAGTATAGCTAGTTATTAGAATAAAAAGTAAATAAGAAATTTAAGTTTTACTGGAAAATTTTTTGTTTTTTGAGACAGTCTCACTCTGTTGCCCAGGTGACAGTGGCGTGATCACAGCTCATTACAGCCTTGACCTCCTGGCCTCAAGCAATCCTCCTGCCTCAGCCTCCCAAGTAGCTAGAACTACAAACATGTACCACACCCAACTGATTTTTAAATTTTTTGTAGAGATAGGGTCTCACTATGTTGCCCAAGCTGGTCTTGAACTCCTTGGACCCAAGCAATCCTCCCACCTCAGCCTCCCAAAGTGCTGGGGTTACAGTAACAGAAATTTTTGAAACATAATCTCATGTATTCAGAATCATGAAGTGACCTCCATGAAGGCTATTCACTTTTGTATCCCCCACTGTAATCATGGAACTGGGTACTGGTTGCTAAATGAATAAGTGAATTAATATGCAAAGACCTATAATACAAAGGGAGGAAAGGGAACATGAAGAGCAGTCATAAGGTGAAACATGAGGACCCTTTAAAAGTTACAAATAGGCCAGGTGTGGTGGCTCACGCCTGTAATCCCAGCATTTTGGGAGGCCAAGGAGGGTGGATCACAAGGTCAGGAGTTCGAGACTAGCCTGACCAACATGGTGAAACCCTGTCTCTACTAAAAATACAAAAATTAGCGGGGCATTAGCCGGCTCAGGAGGCTGAGGCATGAGAATCACTTGAACCCAAGAGTCAGAGGTTGCAGTGAGCCGAGATTGTGTCATTGCACTACAGCAGCCTCGGTGACAGAGCAAGACGCTGTCTAAAAAAGAAAAAAAGTTACAACCAGATGTCTCCAACCCTTCTAAAAAACCCCCTCACAAGACCTCCATTCCTTACCCTGTGCAGGGAGACTCTTGGCTTTTCCTTCAGGTACTCTGTTCACATGGGCATCTGCCCGAGTTGGCTTTGCTTCTCCCTTGGAGACATTCAGAACTGTTTGGGATTCTGTCACATGGAAATCTACTAAGCCAAAACGGAGCTGGGTAAGTTTTCTCTCCAATGTATTTAAAACAGGATTAATCACCAAGTAAATCAATCCCTCAACATGCATGATGGTCAAGAACATGAATGGATTGTCTCACAAGTTAGTTGTGGTGGCTGGGGGCTGAAACTGAATGCTTAAGCAAATAAGTAATAAAGTGATATAAGGATAGTCTTTCATTTTCCAACTAACTCACATAGATAATTTGGCTATAACAATTAAAAATATTATTGAAATAAGAGGGAAGAAAATAGGCCAGGCGCGGTGGCTCACACTTGTAATCCCAGCACTTTGGGAGGCCAAGGTGGGTGGACCACGAGGTCAGGAGTTCGAGACCAGCCTGATGAACATGGTGAAACCCCATCTCTACTATAAACATACAAAAATTAGCCGGGCTTGGTGGCACATGTCTGTAATCCCAGCTACTCGGGAGGCTGAGACAGGAGAATCGGTTGAACCCGGGAGGTGGAGGTTGCAGGAGCCAAGATCGTGCCATTGCACTTAGGCCTGGGCAACAGAGAGAGACTCCGTCTCAAACAAACAAACAAAAACGAAAAAAAGAGGGAAGAAAATATTATGTTTTTCTCTCTCAACTACCCCAATATTAGGTCTATTTAAGAGACCTCTGTTAAATATGCATAAAAGGAAACGAATTTTTACCACATAGGCAATTCTTTTCCCTCAAACTCTCAAGGCATCCTTTCTCCAGATTCCATTCCTGATTTTTAGCTAGGAAGACAATGTGGCTTTTTTTTTCTTTCTTTTCTTTTCTTTCTTTCATTCTTTTTTTTTTTAAGGGGGTTGGGTGAGGATGTTTTGCAGGGAATTAAATTTTAGTCAAAATACAACAATTTCCCAAACCTCGAGAGTTCTCAGATTCAGGAGTTTGAGAACCAGAACTGCTGTATCCTTCCATGTCTTGCCTTCTTTGTTGAACCACTCCATCCAGATCTGAGAATTCATCATTGAAATCCTGAAAGGAAACAGTGAAATGAAGACAGGCTGATTTTCCCTTAGTAAACAGGCAGGCCTTTGTACCTCCCAGCCCTTTCACCTAGGCCTGACCTATAAAACATAGAACAGAAGGAAGGATTACCCCATATGATTGGGATTTTCCCAACAGATCACCGAGTGTCTGGTTACTGAAACAGATTTTTCAGGCAGTTAAAATTCTGTCAACAAACAGTGGCCAACTTGTTTAAAACAACAAATGTCTGGAAAAACACCCAGAATGCCAATAATTGAGAAGCATCCAGTGTGAAGCTGAAGAGGTTTCATTAGCACTTTGTAATGAGAAAACCTGATTACTATACACATATATAAGAGAAAAAATAGAAAGCTTTAAATCCAAGTTCAAATATGTAGACAGAGAGAAAGATACTACTAGATTATAGTTTTTTTTTTATTTTAAAAAAGTATTGGAAACAGAAAAGGAAAAATGGCTTTAGCAAATTAGGCCCTGAAAATAAAGTTTAAGCTTTTTTTATTCCCTCAACTAAATCAAAACAGGGTTAGTGCTAGTACATTTACATTTTAGAAAGATGATGGAGGAGTAAGGGAAAAAGCACAGGCGTTCTACTTTGTATTCTATTGGTTCCCCAAAGTGCTTAAGAACGGAAGAGACAAATGGTGTCATTAAAATGTCCTGGCAAAGGTACAATTAGGCTGAGCTTTTAACAATTTAGTCAGCTGCCAGATGAAGAAGAGACTCATCTTGTAAGCAAATTACCAACCTTTCACCTTGAACTAGCTGTCTTTTGTTCATCTCAACACTCATTTCGATTTCATACAAGGATTTATAGGAGAAGGAAGATTGAAAATTTCTTCAATTTAATGATTTCTTGAATGCCTATCTTGTATCAGGCAGTATGCAAAGCTCCTTACATACATGATTGCATTTAATCTTCACAGCCACATCATGAAGCTGGCATTTTAATGGATGAAGAAACTGAGTCAAAGCAGTTACAGAGCTTGCCTGATGATATAACATAGCTGGGTGGAGCCCAGATTTAAAACCAGGTTTCTTGGATTCCAAATCATATGTGTTACATTACATTTTGTGCTGCTTCCCACTACTGTTTTTCAAGGTAGATTTTTAAGAAATTGAGATAAAATTCAGGTAACATAAAATCCACCATTTAAAAGTATACAATTTAGTGGTGTTTAGAATATTCACAATGTTGTACAACCATGGCTACAATCTTGTTCTGAAATATTTCCATCACCCCCCAAAGAAAGCCCATACCCATTAGCAGTCACTTTCAATTTCTCCCTCACCCCATTCTCTGGCAACCACTAGTTTACTTTCTGTCCCTATGGATTTGCCTGTTCAAGATATTTCATATAAAGGTAATCATAGAGTATGTGGCCTTTTTGAGTCTGGCTTCTTTCACTTAGCATGCTGCTTTCAAGGTCCATCCATGTTGCTATATTGTTGCTGGTATCAGTACTTCATTTCCCTCTTTTTTTTTTTAGATGGAGTCTCATTGCACCATCCTCCAGGCTGGAGTGCAATGGGGCGATCTCAGCCCACTGCAACCTCTGCCTTCCAGGTTCAAGCAATTCTCCTGCCTCAGTCTCCTGAGTAGCTGGGATTATGGGCACCCGCCACTAGGCCCAGCTAATTTTTTGTATTTTTTAGTAGAGACAGGGTTTCACTATGTTGGCCAGGCTGGTCTCGAACTCCTGACCTCACGATCTGCCCACCTCAGCCTCCCAAAGTGCTGGGATTACAGGCGTGAGCCACCACGCCCAGCCCTTAATTTCCTTTTTATGGTTGAATAATATCCCATTGTATGGGTATTTAAAAAATTTATTAATCAGTTGATGGACATTAGGCTTTTCCCCACCTTTTGGCTATTACGAATAACGCTATTAACATTCTTGTACAAGTGTTTGTGTGAATACGCTTTCGGTCCCATTACTTTTAAACTGTTCTCAAAAAAAGATTTGTGGGAGATGTTGAAACCATGGGCTCATATTGCTTCATTAATGTTGAATATTTATAATCATTTGAATGATATGGCTGGAACTCTCTTGGGAAAACATTATAACCATTATGGGTACAAATCTTACACAAACAGAGGGAGCTACTTCCCACTGGAGATTTACTCTACAGTTTACAAAGTCTAAGGGAATGAATCAATCTTTACCTGTCACTTGGGCTTTATAGCTTTCTTTTCTTTTCTTTCTTTCTTTCTTTTTTTTTTTAACAGTTAATTCTGAGCATGTTTGTCTTCTCTTCTAAGTTGTGAAGTCTCTGAAGGCATGAATTAGTTTTAATTTTTCCTGGTATCCTACAGCGTGCACTAGCATGGTGCCTTGAACACAGAAGACATTTAAGGATTTGTGGGATGACTCAGTCCTACCTCAAATAGATGTGTGAATCCCTCTAAACCAATATTGACAGGCAAACAGAGCAAGACTTTATGAATGCCTTCACTGACCAGTAACTCACCAAGACAGTCTACTAGGTGTTTCTTTCTTTTTGCAGGACAACTCTTCAATTACTTGGAAAAAGTTTATGGCTACTATGGTTTCCTCTTCTTCAAGACAGATATGCCCTCTTTCTTCAACTGTACCTCAAATATTTTGGTCCTAAGCTCTTCCCACACCCTGGTCATGGTGTAAGCACAAGTGTAACTGTGGGACATATTCCCTTTCTTTTGCATTTAGATAGTTATGTAGGCAACTTACCAGAGGCAGAGATGACGGGCGGTCTGCTCGGAAACTGTTTTCAGCAGAAGATGGATTGGGACTGTTACCAACACTTGTATTCTGAAATTATTGGAACAAAGCGAAAAACCAGATTAACAATGAAACCATAAGAAATACAGAAGAGAGATAGTAATTGAGGCTCAGGGACATCATACTCACTTCTAAGTGTCCACACACAGATTTTAGTAGTTTGTAAGTTGAATCTCTGGAGAGTAAGGAGACAAACATGTACTGAAAAACAAAACAGGATAATTATGAATAGATATTACCTGATGAGAAGTGAGAGTTGAGAGTTCAGAAAAGTATCTGTATACAGCTTTTTCACTTTCAAACAACATGGACCGCTCTTTGATCTACATTCTCCTCTCACCCAAATATTCCATTTTTATTCCATTTCTGGAATAAAGCAAACATTCTCCCATAAAAACAACAAAATTTTCAAACCCAATTTAAGAGTAATCAATACATGTAGGGCAAAATGAAGGCTCCAAAAGCCTGTCATTGGTGCCACAAACAAGCCCAGAGAAGAAAAGGCCTGGACATTAAAAAAAGGCTAGTGACATTCACTAGATCCCCTTTAAAATCTCTCTCCCTCTGTTTTTGTTGTTAAGGGTATTTAACAATTCCCGAGGGTCCGCCTTCTCTGCTCTGACCTAGATTTCCACTGAAAACTTCCCAGTGGCTCTAATAGGCTAGCTCTCTTTCATGCCACTTCCAGATTCTTCCTTGTACAAATATGGAGATTTTCGAGTGGAGACTTATAAGTGAGCCATGGGAAAGAAGTAAAATAGAAGCTAGACGAATCATGTGAAGACAAATGACATGAGGAAAAATGATTTTACCATAAACAATATGTTCAGAAAATATAAAAATCTACTTTTTTTCCCATCTATTTATGTCATAGAATGTTTTCAGACCTCCTTTCCATGAGTTTGCGATTATCCTTCTCATTTACCAGTGAGGGAACTTGAATTATTTCCAAGCAAGTACTATATTCCAAAGTAATTAATATTGTGGGTTCTGGCATCAGGCAGATCCAGTTGCAAATTCTGGCTCTGACACTTACTAAGTGGGTGACATTGGGAAAACTGCTTAACCCCTCTAACTTTCAGTTTTCTTAATAACAGTTATCCATTACAGGGTGGTAGCAAGAAAATATAAGAAAAGCATTAGTGTATGGCCTGACAAGGAGGAAATACTGATGAGTGTTGGCTATTAGTATTTTTAAAAGATCCCCAAATAGATATTAACATATCTTCTAGCTTATCAGAATGGTCTCTTTTATCTTTCCTTCTTTCTTCTTCTCTCTACAAGTTTTCTAGTATGGTTAGAAAGGAAATCTATAGCCAGTCACGTTGGTTCATGCCTGTAATCCCAACACTCTGGGAGGCTGAGGCCGGGGATCACTTGAGCCCAGGAATTTGAGACCAGCCCTTGGCAACATAGCAAGACCCCATCTCTATTAAAAAAAAAGAAAAAAGAAGAAAGGAAAAAGGAGAAATGAAATCTATAGAATGTAGATTTTATGCTTTCATAGAAATAATAGGTAACAGATTAAAAAAATTTCACGTGAAAAGTAACCACTCCACTCCCTCTTTCTTGCCAAGCTGAAATAAACACCACTTTAATGTAAATGTTTCTGATCGCACATGTCTGGGGTAGCACAATAGTCAATTCAGCTCTGGAATTTCTATGTAGAAGGTAGTTCAGGCAACCTGTTAGTAAAGCAGGTCTAAAAACTGATCCTGCACCTGCAGTTGCAGAGCAGGTGCAAGTTTTATTTATCTGGAATGGCTCTAGGGAGGTATTGACTGAGGTTATGGGGAGGCTGGCCACCCCCACACCAGGAACTCCTCACTATCAACCTGCTTGCCTCACCCTGTCAGTAAGGTGGTGTTTTGTTGTTGTTCTTTATATATATTTATTACTGTTTTGAGACAGGCTCGCTCTGTCACCCAGGCTGGAGTGAGTGGTGCTCGATCTCAGCTCAGTGCAACCTTTGTCTCCTAGTCTCAAACAATCCTCCCACCTCAGCCTCCCCAGTAGCTGAGATCACAGGTGTGTGCCACCACACCCAGCTAATTTTTGTATTTTTTTGAAGACAGAGGGTTTCGCCATGTTGCCCAGGCTGGTCTTGAACTCCTGGACTCAAGCGATCCACCTGTTTGGGCCTCCCAAAGTGCTGGGATTACAGGTGTGAGCCACTATGCCTGGTCTTGTTCTTGTTCTTTTTCTTGGAGACAGGGTCTCGCTCTGTTGCCCAGGCTGGAGTGCAGTGGCACAATCATGGCTCACTGCAGCCTTTACCTCTTGGGCTCAAGTGATCCTCCTACCTCAGCCTCCCAAGTAGCTGGGATCACAGGCACACACCACCACACCTGGCTAATTTTTATATTTTTTGTAGAGATGGGGTTTCACCATGTTGCCCAGGCTGGTCCCCAACTCCTGGGCTCAAGCAATTCTCTCACCTCAGCCCTTAGCCTCCCAAAGTGCTGGGATTAAAGGCCTGGCCTCCCTTTTTTTTTTTTTTTTTTTTTAAGTTTTTTTCTTCTTTAAGACTATTAAAGGAACTGAATATACCAGTTTAGCCTGATCTAGCAGATGTTAGCCTGACCTAGCTGAAGTTGAGACAGCATTTTATTTTTTTGACCTTGGTCAGGCAAGTATAATTAAGTCAGCAGGAAATTCAAAATTGGCAACACTTCTATGAGAATAAATCACCTTGTGAAGGGAAACAGCACTACATGAATGTCTACAGGCTATAATTTTTAAAATTAGTCTTATAGAATTTTCCTGATTCACCAAAGGAGATGATGATATTTATGGTTTGGAGTCTTGGTCCTTGGCAAGAGGGCCCTCAGGCAGCAGAGCCCAGAGCAGGAGGACAGAGCGAAGGTGCCCTCGCTCCGCTGCATACTCACCCTGTCTGTGACCGTCGCTATGATGAGGGCGTTTGGCACTAGAAGAGCAGTTTTGGTTTTCTTTATTAGGGTTACTGAGAAAGCTGGAATAGAGATCTGAAACAGAATCAGCAAGTTAATGCCAGTTCAGACTTGACAGAACAGCACTTCGAATCTTCACATTAAAGGGGAAAAAAAAAAGTAAACAGAAATCAAAACCAGCAGCAAGCTCCCCAGCCTCCATGAAGAAAAGTCAATCTTACAGAGTGGCAGGGATGTGTCACTGAGCTCCTCAAAATGGTGCTTACTGAGCCGGAGGATAAATCTGAATCATCGATTGGACTGAAGATCTTGGTGGGAAACCTTTATCTTCAGACATGAAAATAGAATGCAAAATGTATATTCATTTTAAAGATAAGCCCAAGGCTCTAAAGAAATTTCAAGCTTCTGGTCATCCACTTTGGGCTAACTTCCACATGCCCCACTCTCCTCTGTCTTTAGGTGCACGTTGGGGGGAAAATGTTAAAAAGCACTGGTATAATAGGACCATCACTGGAGAGAAAACTTGGGACCTGAATTCTTGGCTCAGTTCTTTTTTTTTTTTTTGAGACAGAGTCTCGCTCTGTCGCCCAGGCTGGAGTTCAGTGACACGATCTCAGCTACCTGCAAGCTCCATCTCCCAGGTTCACGCCATTCTCCTGCCTCAGCCTCTCGAGTAGCTGGGACTATAGGTGCCCACCACCATGCTCCGGCTAATTTTTTAATATTTTCTGTAGAGACGGGGTTTCACCGTGTTAGGCAGGATGGTCTGGAACTCCTGATCTTGTGATCTGCCCACCTCGGCCTCCCAACTTGGCTTAGTTCTGTTACTACAGGTTGAGCATCCTTAATCTGAAAATCAGAAATCTAAACTATTCCAAAATCCAAAAGTTTTTGAATGCTGATATTGATGGTCAAAGGAAATGCTCACTGGAGCATTTCAGATTTTGGATTTTTGGATTAGGAATGCTCAGCCAGTTATATATTGGCAGACATTGCAAAATCTGAAATCCAAAACACTTCTGGTCCCAAGCATTTTGGATAGGGGATACTCATCCTGTATCTACATGACCTACTCCCCCGTGTAAGCCATCTGTTCTAGGCCTCAGTTTCTTGATTTATAAATTGGAGATAGTCTCATCTACTTCTCAGGATTTTCTGTGGATTAAGTAAGATAATATATGCAAAATGCCCAGAGATGAATAAAAATTTCATTTACCTCCTCACTTGTTTATGAAATCAGGATGGGTGAAATAAAATATTTTTTAATACTAAATACTTTTCTGGTTCAACAAAGAATAACAACAACAGTAACTATAGAAGCTGCGATTATTGATACCTATTTACCAGATAGAATTTAATTATGATGATCCTACATAGTCAATATTTTAAGAAATAAAGAAATTTATTTAGAGAGGTGCATATCATACATAAGAAGTTACAAAGATGGAACTCAAGCCAGTCTGATTCAAAATGTGGGTTCTTTTCAATACAATGTGCTATAAGAATGTATCAAATGGCACAAAGAACAGAAGTTCATGATAATTTATGTTATACCTCTCCAACCAAATTTGATCTCAAAGGAAAATGGATCGCCATTACTTTAATCCCTGAAAACAGAACATCTACTTCTTGAAAATGCCTCACATATTCTCAAAAGTGGAGAAGAGATGGGCTTTATGTAAGTACTGCCAGCTTGAAGGAAGCAAGCACAATGAGCTTTTTTTTTTTTTTTTTTTTTTTTAAGATGGAGTTTTGCTCTTGTTGCCCAGGCTAGAGTGCAGTGGTGCGATCTCAGCTCACGGCAACCTCCTTCTCCCAGGTTCAAGTGATTCTCCTGCCTCAGCCTCCTGAGAAGCTGGGATTACAGGCATGTGCCACCACGCCCGGCTAATTTTTTTTTTTGAGAGGGAGTTTTGTTCTTGTTGCCCAGGCTGGAGCGCAGTGGTGCGATCGCGGCTCACCGCAACCTCAACCTCCCAGGTTCAAAGGATTCTCCTGCCTCAGCCTCCTGAGTAGCTAGGATAACAGGCATGTGCCACCATGCCTGGCTAATTTTGTATTTTTAGTAGAGACGGGGTTTCTCTATGTTGGTCAGGCTGGTCTCAAACTACTGACCTCAGGTGATCTGCCCACCTCAGCCTCCCAATGTGCTGAGATTACAGGTGTGAACCACCACGCCCAGCCACACCCAGCTAATTTTGTATTTTTAGTAGAGACGGGATTTCTCCATGTTGGCCAGGCTGGTCTTGAACTCCCAACCTCAGGCGATCCACCCGCATCAGCCTCCCAAAGTGCTGGGATCACAGGTGTGAGCCACCGTGCCTGACCACAAAATGAGCTTTTAATTTTGAATATTTGCATTTACATCTGGGTTTATGAGATGGGCTTATTTATTGCCCTCAATGATCTAGGCAGGAAGACTATGGAAGAACAAGGGATAATCCAATTGAGACATTTTCTAAAAACTGTTTGCCAAAGAACTCCACTCACAATATTTTTCAAAGGCAGGAGGCAATTCAGAACTTACAAGTTGGGATAAATTTGGAAAAAAAGAATTTGAGATCTACTTAGATCATAATTTAAAAAAAATGAGTCTAATTTTGTTTCTGAGCAGCAATACAAACACACAGTGGCAAAGGGCTATAAATTTAGATTTTTCATAATCTAAGGCATGGAACACCCTTAAGAAAGTTTTCAATCAATTGCTTCATGAGTATAAAATTACAACCAGATAACATTTGTAAAATAAAGCTTAAATCACTTTTCAGTTTGAGCCTAGACAGAATGTGATACATGCATGCTAATTTTACTAGCATCTGAAAATACCAACAGGCTGACTAAAAAGGTCCTGATTAAATTAAGGCTACACTTTATTAATATTTTTCCAGGGTAAATGATAATATTTTTCCAGGGTAATGGTAACATTTTTCCAGGGTAAACTGCTTTAGAAGGGGAACTTGATTAGAAAGTTCCCACGGTAGAGCAATTGTTTGGGTGCCTTCAGCTCATACTGGATCACGCTGGACTGAGGTCCATTGGCAGTGAGGAAATTCTGCAACATCTCTGAAGCCCAAATCTCCTTTGACACCATCCTTAGAAGGGATGGAACATACAAGTCACTATCATGGTTCTTATTCCCACGCCCTGCTAATTTTCAGTCTCCTGCCTCTGTAGGTTACACACTGCAAAAGCAATCTTAGTATATCCATGTCTTCAAAAAACCAGGGTCACTTCTTCTAACTTCTTTTTATCAGTTCTTAGGTAGAAGTAGAACTTTAAAATCATTGCTAGAATCATATCAGCTTGAAAGTGCACTGACTGCCTTTGTGGATCCCCCAGTCGCTTAACAAAGACTAATGCTTTGTTCATTAGTGTCTTCAGTCCCTGCTGCTCTGCTCAGACATGTTGGCTCTATATGAATTCCTGAGAACTATATCACATTGATCAGTACTACCCAATCCCCTTCCCCATTCCATGAACAAGACCTTTAATCCAGAAATGTAGAAATAGATGAAATACTGCTTCATATTGATTTGTATTATACTGATTCAGATAATACTGTCAATCAAATAATGCTTATCTAAACATAGCTCTATATGATAAAAAATCAATATAAAAAGAACATGTTTTACCTAAAGAATAGTATGCTAGTCTTCAGCTCCAACACTGACAAAAGAAAATATTCCTATTAGATTTGTTAAGTGGTCTTTATGCAATTGCCAGTGGTTTTGGAAAGAATATTTAAATAAGGCACATCTACCACTCAAAACAAAAAGAAGTTTTCATCAGCTACTTCATGACTATGAGAGTTGCTTCTTCACACTCATGAATCAGAATGATTGAAAACTCACTGAGGTCATGCAAACCCAAGAAGTGTTTCTCTGGTGTTATTCTGGAGGCCTGAATGAACTGTGATGTGACATTGTAGCTCAAAGGTAAAAAAAAGTCAGTGGGATAGAATTATCTTTTCCTTGATAGGCCACGGTCCCACGGTCCCCAGTTTAGAGGGCAGTGCCAATTCCTTTAGGCTGTTCTGCTTAATGTCTCAGGATGTCATGTGTCTCTACTCCCCCAAATCTGTATTTAATAATAATGAAAAGATGTAATATCAGAGTACACTTGGGATCGAGGGTGTCTGACTTCCCCAGGCTAGGCCTTAACTGCTCCACTTCCTGCTCATTTTGTGCTGGTGAGGGTACAAAGGGAGTGCTAATAAGTACCTTATTTATTGGCCTGCTGTCCTAGACATCACTGATAACTGGTATAAATATGGTATAAAAATTGATGTTTCTTAAAAGAAATGATTTTGGTTTAAATGTATGTGTTTGAAAATCATGGCACACCCTCCATATAAACAACTTTGAGTGTTCGCTGGTGACATCTGAGTAAAAAGGATTTAGGGTATGGCTATGGGTGAGGTACATGTGTATATGTGAGGTATATGTATGTAAAGAAATGAGTGAGAAAATAATGCTTAGGGAAAAAGGGAAGTTAGTGTCATCTGGAGGCATTTAGAACCTATAGTATTTGGAATTACAACAAAGGAAACTTGGCATAAAAGATTAACCATAATATAAGTATCTATAAATATAGCTAAATTTAAGACGATTAATATTTACCATATACAATAAAGTATAGGGTTAGCTTTTTTAAATTTATTTTTTAATTATACCAACCTTTGTGTCTTTTCCAAAGACCTTGGAATGAAAACAAATCCAGTTTTCTGATACAAAGAGCTTTCCTTGGTATAGTATTTCTTTCTGTAGAGCACAGGTAAAGCCTGGGAGAATACACACAGGTACAGCATCATTTAGAATTTCCATTTAAAATAAAAACCATGTATATATTTTGGTGACTCAAGGATGGGCAGAGAATTCATTCATACTCAAAAGTTTTATTGCCTCTTCTTCTGTCATCTTTATGGAAAGCAAGCTGTGGCGACCAGTTTGTTTTTAAATTCAAAGTCTTACCAACTTCAGTATAAATATCAGAATGAAAAGGCAAATCTACTATTGTACCTGAGAGACCAAGAATGGCGTTTTACAAGTCTCCTCTATCATGTGCTGGTATTAGTACACCTGTTCCCCTTTTCCCCAGTATTTTCACTAATGACTGTTTTCGAAATAGATGGCCTCACTAGAGGAAGAGCACATAGCCCACACTTTCTGTCTGAAGGTCATGGCAGGAACCCAGCATCTTGCCTCAACTTTTGCACATCAAGAGAGGCTAGAATGGAACTTTGGGCCCCTTGATGAATCACTGCAGAGCCCAGTAGGCGTGCTTAACTAGCATGCTGGGCAAGATATCTAGGTGACCATCACACCCTTCATAGTGGCATCAGCACGTGTCTGTCCATGTCTAAGGATGTAAGTTTTCTTTTAGTCTTCTTCTAGTGGCCTCTCTTGCCCCAGGCTTGTTATCCTAAATCTTAAAGCAATGTAACCATGTGCATTTCAGCAATAAATAAAGAAGGGAAGGGTATCATGGAACCATCTTGGGTGACTCCATACCCCATGGAGAACTGTTTCTTTTTCTCCTCTGTGATCTTTTCACGCTGCCTGGTGAAAGCTGATTGAAGCTGGTGTTATTGTTATGTTATGACTTTCAGAAACCTGATCCCCTTGGTGACTCAGTCCATAGACTAGGCCCTCTTTCTTCCCCAAAACTAATGATCAACTTTTCAAATATGTAGCTTAAAAAGTCAAACAGGTCAGAACTTACTTTGCTTCAGTGGTTCCTCCGTTGGAACACTAAGAAACAACTTGTGAAAGTGCATATTGGCCTTGTACTACAATGAGAACAAAATACAAGCATCACCACTCTCACTTTCTTGTGAAACATCACAAATTCAACTTCAACAACAAAATTTCCCTCCCTTAATAGTATCTTTAGGAATTCCTTCTCACTGATCTTACGTCTCTGACACAAGCCTTCAGTAAAACACAGTGAAAGTCAGGGCACACAAGTTTCATTTTCTAACAAGTTTAATGCTTTGCTGGTTGGATATAATGATGCAGCTGCTCGTCAGCCTACTGCTGAGGAAACAGGGCTAGACAAGGATGTCCCTAATCAGAAAGGGGATGAAATTTTAAGGAATCTCATTAGGGAGGGTACTGGATCCCAGGTACTAAACGTACCAGTGAGTACTCTCAGAAGAGTACAGTGGTTCAAAGCTTTGTAGTCAGGTAAACCTGAGTTGAAGTCTTGGCTGTAGTGGCTCTAGCTCTTGGTATGTGACCATGGCTTAGTCCCTTTATCTCCCTGGGCCTTGGTTTCCTTTTCTGTACCAGAGGGCAAAAACAGTACCTGCCTCAAGGTATGTCATAAGGCTTAAATGGGATAATACACATAAAGGACCTATAGTCTAAGGCAACATATGGCCACTCTTCCTACTGTATTATTGTGAAGGCATTTCCTTAGCCAGTGACAGGAGTAGGATGCAGTAGCCTACTGTCAAGACAAGTAGGATTTCATACAAAGACTTCACTCTCCAGGGCAGCAGAAAGCCCAAGACTATGAAAGCTGCAAATCACTTCATCTTCAAGGGATCTGTTTTTACAACTGTGACAATAACAATGGATAGCCAGCAATTTACAGACTGTAAAACACTTTCATCTGCATCATACAGCTATTAAGAGGTAGAACTGTTAGCTGGATGTGGTGGCATGTGTCTGTAGTCCTAGCTACTTGGGAGGCTGAGGCAGGAGGATCTCTTGAGCCCAGGAGTTCAAGCCTGCAGTGAGCTATGGGGTATAACTGGATCCTCTCTCCACAGCATCAATCTGCCTCATAGGATACTTCTGAAGAAAAATTCTTATAAAGAAAATGGGTAGGAGGCCCTGGATGGCTTATTATCCAAACCAAGAGTGGTCTCAATGGCAAAACTGGCCCTGTTTTACCATAAAGAACTACAGACCAGGTCATCAAGACAATAGATGGTCCCTGCAAGTCAGCTATTTTATAGATAAACACCTTGTAGAAAGATACCTTGATTAAAGCTGGGTGTTGTATGGCTTCACTGAGCTTTTGTTTTCAATGGCTACAGTGAGCAATGGTTGCACGCTTGATTTAAAATATGCTAGGCCATAAACTCTTCAAAAATGTCAACGTAAAAATTGGCAAAAGAGGTAGTGGGGCTGATTTCAATTAAAAGGGACATAGCAGGCTGAGTGCAGTGGCTCATGCTCCTAATCCCAGCACTTCGGGATGCAGAGGTGGGTGGATCGCCTGAGGCCAGGAGTTTGAGTCGAGCCTGGCTAACACGGCAACACCCTGTCTGTACTAAAAATACAAAAATTAGCTGGGTGTGGTGGTGCACATCTGTAATCTCAGCTACTCAGATGGTTGAGTCATGAGAATCACTTGAATCCGGGAGGTGGAGGTTGCAGTGAGCCGAGATCATGGCATTGCACTCCAGCCTGGGCAACAGAGCAAGACTCTGTCTCGAAAAAAAAAAAAAAAAAGAAAAGACATAGCAAATACATGCAGTATGTGACTCTTGATTGGATCCTGGAGAGGAAAAAAACACCTTTATAAAGGATATTTATTACCGGGACTACCATGGAAATTCAAAAGTAGATTTTATATTAATAATATTTTAATACATTTCATATTTAAATTTCTTGGGTGTGCCGATGGTTTTTGGTTTAGCTCTTAGGAGGCACACATTCAAGTATTTAGAGGGGTGAAGAATTAAAAAAAAACAAACTCCTGGCCCCAGTACATGCATCACACTCTCTGATGACATAGAACTGGGTTTTGTTTCCTATCTGGGTGTATTTTAGAGCAGAACCAAAATCAGTTTGGAGAATAATCCTGACCCTGTTCAAAGGTCTTACTCCTCTGTGTGCAGTTGGCTGGCCTACTACTATTCAGGCAGATGCCTTATCAGACTCTTCAATTTCAGTACAAGGATGTCACAACTCCCCTTGTCTTGCTAATTATTGGATAAGCACATGACTCTGTGTTGGTCCCTGATCTCTGGGTATTTGTCAGAGTTCGAGGCCACAGCATGGAACTCATCACCACGCAATGTGCTGAAAAGTGAGTTGTGATAAAAAAATGGACTGTTTGTTCTTCTAAATTGTCTAAACTCTATGCCTATATTAGTCTTGACCAGCAGGAAGGTGCATGCTTGAGTTCCTTCTTGTCACTGGCTTCAATAGTCTTGTCACCCCCTAAGACAACACAAATTCCATTCTCAAATTACCTGGCCGGAAGATGAAGACTTTTTTCTTTCAGTCTTAGGGTCATTTTTGCTTTCTGTTTTACAGTCGTTCTTATCACTTGCTAAAGAGGCACCATCAAAACTGGATTTTGACCTAAAGAAAGAAAGTCCAGGGTGTCTATAAGATAATTTTTTTTTTTGAGACAGTTTTGCTCTGTTGCCCAGGCTGAAGTGTAGCAGCATGATCACGGCTCACTGCAACCTCCCCGTCCAGGACTCAAGCGATCCTCCCACCTCAGCCTCCCGAGTAGCTGGGACTACAGGTGCATGCCACCATGCCCAGCTCATTTTTTTTGTAGAGATGGGGTTTCACCATGTTGCCCAGGCTGGTCTTGAACTCCTGGACTTAAGTGATCTACCCGCCTCGGCCTCCCAAAGTGCTGGGATTATAGGCATGAGTCACCACACCTGGCCTATGAGATACATTTTTCATTAATTTATTGTAATAAATCTTGATTATTATACTATCGTCTAAGAAAACCTGACATTTGTTTTTCTTTTCTGGATATCAAAAATCATTCATGATACTCTGAGAGCATTTACACAGCACATGCTTTGGGACACTGGAAGGATTTCAGCAGGCTGTAATCAAAAACTGTAGAAATAGTAACTTATAGAGGGTGAAATAACGATCAAGTTGTGAAAATAATTATGTCATTTTAAAAGTATTTTAATCAGTATGTAAAAAGGAGTACTTGAGGCAAACTACTAAATAGTATTGTGGCTATAGTTCATTCAAAGAATATTTTTGTTTCAGAATTCCACTAATATTTAACAAGTATTAATTGAGTGGGGCATTGTGTTAAATGTCTTGGGGCCCATAACACAGTCTTTGTCCTTAAGGCGCCTGTGTACGCATGCATCAAACACTTTTTAAAAAAGGCAGTACATTATTTAGCACCAAAACAAAAACAAAAACAAAAAAAAATATTACAGCAGTTAGGAGAAGGTATGGAGCCAATGAGTCTAACAGGAGGTGAGAGAAGAGGAAAACAGGCTGGGCACAGTGGCTCATGCCTGTAATCACAGCACTTTGGAAGGCCAAGGTGAGCAGACCACCTGAGGTCAGGCATTTGAGACCAGCCTGGCCAACATAGTGAAATCCCATCTCTACCAAAAGTACAAAAATTATCTGGGCATGGTGGTGCGCGCCTGTAGTCCCAGCTACTCGGGAGGCTGAGGCGGGAGAATCGCTTGAACCCGGGAGGCAGAGGTTGCGGTGAGCTGATATTGCGCCACTGCACTCTAGCCTCGGGGAGAGAGCAAGATTCTGTCTCAAAAAGATAAAAAAGTTAAATTTAAAAAAGTAAATAAAGAGAAGAGGAAAACAAGAGAATAATGTGGGCTTGAAATGCTGGGCCTAACAGGATACGCAAGAATCGGGTATGAGGAAAAGACACAACACATCCCGGAGTGGAAATACAATACAAGTGAAATCAGAATAAAACAAAAATGAAACCAAAAAACATGTGTGAAGCCAAATCTTCCTTTTTCCTGTTAAGGACAGAGGTCAGAGCTCCAGAGTTTCTTTCTAAGGCGATTCTAGTCCTGGTTTTCCATTTTAGTAGATGTGTGCATTTGTACGTGGCTTCAACCCTACGGCTAAAAGCAGTCTCTTCAAAGTAGCATGCATGGATGATTTTTGGAGTTATATATATGAATAAGTTTTACGATCGTGAAGTTGCTTTAATGTTTCTGGGAGGAAATGGCACATAAAATCCATGATTTCACAATATTATTCCTTAAAATGAGGTTCAGTTAAAAAAAATTGGTTCAAAGTGGATTTAAGAACAATCTGAAGTAATTCAGGTGGTACCTGGGTGTCACAGATAAACAGAAAGGACTGAAGTTAGAGAATTATGCTCTGGTTTTCTCAGCTGTGAAAAGATGGACTATATGAAGTCCTAGGCTTCTTCTAGCCACTACAGTGTATGATTCCACAGTGCTCAAATCACAGGTCAAATACCCCTCAGCTGTTCAAGGCAAATGAATTTAATTTCAGACACAGGCCATTTAAGCTATTCACAGATGTAAATTCCCTGGGAATTCTAGGGATTACTTTTTTTTGGAAGCTATGAAAAACATTTGTTCTCTATTTGAAAATAAAACTATCTGTACAAATGTCAACTTACCTTTTATTTATACTATTCACAGATTTGAATTCATCATCTCTACTGATTCAAATCAATAAATGTTAATGGAATGGGCAAGGAAATGATCAGACTGTTTGAAGATCCATGGCCTGCAAGCAAATATGACAAGTAGGGTGGCTCTACCCTTGATAATTTCAAAAGGCAGAAGCAATAAGGGGGTTCATCTGCATGACACTGACCCCTGTGGACAGGGTATGTATGTATATAATATTGATTTCTTTGGGTCTTTTCAACCCTGTTATTCTCACTTCCTACAGGTGACAAGAAGCCCAGTGCAAAATGAAAATGTGGGGTCCCTTATATAAAAATTAATTAATTAATCTTTTGAGACAAAGTCTCACACTGTTGCTGAGGCTGGAGTGGCACAATCTCGGCTTACTGCAGCTTCCACTTCCTGGGTTCAAGCAATTCTCCTGCCTCAGCCTCCCGAGTGCATGCACCACCACACCTGGCTAATTTTTGTATTTTTAGTAGAGACGGGGTTTCACCATGATAGCCAGGCTGGTCTTGAATTCCTGACCTCAGGTTATCCACCTGCCTCAGCCTCTCGAAGTGCTGGGATTACAGGTGTGAGCCACCAGGCCTGGCCCCCTTACATAAAAATTATTAAGCATTTCTGGATAGCAAGAGGGGAGCATTAAACCAAGTGTGGGCCCTTTCCAGTTGCACAGACCACATGCTCATGAAGTTTAGCAAGCATGCCCTGTGAGAGTGTATTATTATTACTGAAGCCTGGGGAAGTTGGAGTAAAACCAACAGTGTTTTTAAGGTGCCTGCTGTAGTCAGCCAACAGTGGTGAAAGACATGAGAAATAACGTGCCTTGTGCCTTTGTGAAGAGAAGCATTAGGTGAGGCTTTGAGGGGAAACAACTAGAGGAAAAAAAATGGTTAAACTGAGATGCTGGCCAGGTGCAGTGGCTCACGCCTGTAATCCCAGGACTTTGGGAGGCCGAGGCCAGTGGATCACCTGAAGTCAGGAGTTCAAGACCAGCCTGGTCAACATGGTGAAACCCTGTCTCTATTAAAAGCACAAAAATTAGGTGGGCATGGTGGTGCACGCCTATGGTCCCAGCTACTGGGGTGGCTGAGGGAGGAGAATCGCTTGAACCTGGGAGGCGGAGGTTGCTGTGAGCTAATGTGCCATTGCACTCCAGCCTGGGTGACAGAGCGAGACTCCGACTGAAAAAAAAAAAAAAGTGAGATGCCACAAAACAGCATGCAGGAAAGACGGAGAGATAATTGGGAATTAGAGTCAGAAGAGGAAAATTTGGGGAAGAGTTAAGACTTACTCTTGGTCCTGAATGAAGCATAGATTTGGAGAGAAGACATGGGCTGGTAAGCCAGGAAGGAAGCAAAAAGTGGAGTTAATCTTTCAGCAGAGACCAAAAGAAGTAGAAGGTAGCAGTTCTAAAAGTTCTAATAATGGTGAAGGACAACAATCATTTCTCTACTCAGTTTAGATAAACTGCACTCACCCATCACACACTCTTGGTTTAACTGCTATCTTTTGAGTGCCCCAAAGCAACTTTAGTCTCTACCAAACGGTAGTTGGTGCCTCTCAGAATGATGAAGCTACAGCTACACATCTCAAAACCACCTCTCCCCTGCAGCCCCACAACCAAACCGCCCCTCCCTTTTAGTCTGTCACAGGAAACTGGTGGCCTGAGGGGTCCCCGGGATGGCGATTCTTTTCCTTGGCTTTTTCATGGCCCCCAGGAAAATGAGACACCAAGTGGGGCACACCCGAGGCTGGGCAGACACTCCAACCTGGCCAGCCTTCCCAGGTGCTTTCTAAACATATGCCTGAGAGTGGGCCACCCTGGCCTCATCACTTAGCAAAATCAGCGCTTTCAGAAAGGTGCAGATGCTCTGTTGAAGGTTGGGGCAGGAGGGAGAAAAAGATGCTGCCTGGGTATCGGGGAAAAATGCTCATTCTTTCTCAGGAGTATTATTTGTCTATAGTATCAATACATCCTTACTCTAACAAAAAACCCCAGCTCCTCCCATAATGCCCTCTCCCCAAAAGACGAAAGAGAACAAAGAGAGTCAACGGAGGACTCACCGTAGGCTAATGATTTTCTTCTGGTCTGGGGAGTCGGCCTCCACAGATGGGGTAGGGGATTGGGCTGTTGGCGACCTGCAGGCTTTCTTTTTCTCCTCCACACCATTCTCAGCCTCTGAGCTGAAGAAGAAAGGAAAATGCTTCACCTTAGACATTCAGAGAGAGGTAGCTGGAAGGAAAACGATGAACTAACCTGGTTTTCTAGAGAGTGGAATGATTTTCATTCCCCACTGATAGGCTAGTTAACTTTGACAGCTAGGCCCTTTCCCAATCTCCATTCTAACCCCTTGCCTGGTGCCCCAATGGCAGTAGCTGCAGGTCATACCTGTTTCACTTGTAAATGCCAGACTGTGTGGACTTGCTGGCTCCCAGGTCTGCGTTGCCCAGCTCTGTTCTGCATAGTCTGTGCTGCCCAGCTCTGCTGCTCTGCATAGGCTGTGCTGGGGAAGTCAGATCACCTGGAGGCTGGGAGGGCCCTGCACACGTGCACACGCACACGCACACACGCTCATGTGTGGCCTCCTGCAGGTGTGAGCCTTCCCTCTGGGAACCCCCACCCCTTTTGTTTGCACTTCTCTTATGTCACTTACATGTTGTTTAACCAAGCAGTTCCCTAAGCAATTTACAGTCTCTGATCTTTACAACCACCTAGACTAGGTAGGAATTACTACCCCCATTTTATAGATGAGGAATCTGAGGCTCTTGCTATCTTGCCTAAGTTCAGAGAGCTAGCATCTGTCTTACTTGAGATTCAAACTCAGTATGTCTGTCTGCAAAGCCTTTGTGTTCTCTCTCTCCATCCATCCCTCCAACCACCTACTCATCCATTTATCCCCATAACTAACTCTTCAGTGTGAGAGCTCCAGGGTGGGGTGGGAATCTTACTCATCTTTGTCCTAACCACGGGGTCTAGGATAGTGTTGAGCTACAGTCATGATCAATAGGCTTTGGAAAAACTAGGTCTGACCTTGGTAAAAGAGAAGGTGGAGGGGAGTAGAGGGGAAGGTGAGTCAAGAGGGTTTGTGCATAGAACCAACAAACAGAGGACAACCAGCATGGGGGATGCAGAAGTGGGCTCCCTCAGTCGGCCGGTGGAGATCTCTTGGGAAGCAGGAGAAACCATTTCCAATGGGAAAGTGGGAAAGGAAGGGATGTTGAAGGAAAAATACAAAATGTTTTTTATGGATCAGAACTTCTTTGGTGTGTCAGCTCAGTAAAACACAAACGATACTTCTGAGGATGTGAGGACTCCATGGAGACTGAGCGTAAAGAAAGACACGTTAAGATTGCATTGCTATGAGAGATTAGCTAATCTTCATTTTCATTTACCACCTATTTGGTATTCTCACCTGGATATGACTGTGCAGGCAGGAAATGCCACTGGATAGTTTAAGCTGCCTGGTTGCTTTGCTGACCACTTTTCACAGCATATGAAAATTGTAGCCTAGGCAAGGAGTCCTATTGTAGTGTCAGAATCAAGGCCAGTATATCTGACAAGGGTATCTAACTAATAACCCCCACAAATGGTTGATACTTTTTTTTTTTTTGAGATGGAGTTTCACTCTTGTTGCCCAGGCTGGAGTGCAGTGGCACCATCTCAACTCACTGCAACCACTGCCTCCCGGGTTCAAGTGATTCTCCTGCCTGAGTAGCTGGGATTACAGGTGCACGCCACCACGCCTGGCTAATATTTGTATTTTTAGTAGAGACGGGGTTTTGCCATGTTGGCCAGGCTGGTCTCGAACTCCTGACCTCAGGTGATCCACCCACCTTGGTCTCCCAAAGTGCTGGGATTACAGGCGTGAGCCACTGCGCCTGGCCATATGGTTGATGCTCTTAATTCTGTGGTAAGCATTTCTTTTTTCCTAGTAGATACATATCTGAGAACAGAGGCCCAACCTTCTATTTCTTCAATTCTTCTCAAAGTACTTAAAACAGTTACATACATTAAAAGGGCTTAGTCCATAACAGAATTGCATTATGTGACAAAGGTACATGGAAGGCCAAGGTCTTGAAATATTATTAGGAAAACCCTGTTTTGGTTTACATAATAATTGGACTTTATTAAACTCAACACCATGTTTAATTTGTGGACTCAAAGAATTTTAGAATAGTTAAGAGGCCTTAAAGCACATCTCTGGCTTTTTTCTCTTCCCCCAAAACACACACACATTATCTCTCTTCTTCAACAGATTCAGGCAGAAATCTACTTGAGAAGCCCTCTTTAAGTAGAGACTGGGTATAGAACTTCAATAATCCATCTCAACATTTATTCAGATATTTACTGGATTTTATGCAGGATCAGATGAAGACTTAGAGGGAGAGCCAGAGCTGTCCTGTACAGCATCTTTGTGTACAGAGAGCCACTCCACAAAAGGTGCTCCTGGCAGAGATAAGGTGCTCCTTGCTCTGGGCAGAAACGACCCAGCACCAACGTCAGAAGGCAGCAAAACTGAGGCTGGATTTCAGTCCCTCTTTGCCCCTGACCCATCTTGGTCAGGCTTTTGTGTGCAGTGCAGGTGACTAAGTGCTTAACCACATGAGGTGGTCCTGTTTTGGGACTCAGCTTAGCACTGAAAAGATTACAGTGCATGCCTCTAGATTGTCCTACTCAAACAATGTCTTTCAAGGATGGAATATACAGTTGTACTCAAAGTAGCTTTTTTCTACATACTCTCCACTTTATTTCTCCTTCAGCTTGTGTTTTGTCTTCAGCACTGGTTCTCTCCTGGAAGGTTCTAGCCAGGGGGCACATCCTCCACATTGCCTAAAAGTCTCTATGCTGCCTGCTGATTTTATAACTCACTAGGCATCGAATTAATTCATACCTTGTACTGGTACCTTTTCTCCCAAAAATCTTAGTTATCCAGCACTAGACTCAGTTCCTCAAAGGCAGGGAATGTCTGGTTTTTTTTTTTCCACGGCACTCAGCTCAGCATTTGCTCACAGTGGTCATTTATAGGTTGAATGATATGGATTAATTATGTAGTATCTCGAAGAGGAAGCGAAATTCACCTACGGGTCAATTCGATCTTAGGTTTTTGCTTACTTAAAGATGCTACAGGCTCAAGCAAGTTAATTCCTCACACAGGCAAGATTATTCCTGCAAGCGTCCCTTGCCTTGGAGGTCTCGTCAGCAGCAGACTGAAACTATGTAGAATTCAAGCAGCAGAGGCTAGCGTGTGTTTGAGTGAGCAGTGTGGGAGGGGAAATGGAATGCTTCCTCAAGGCCTTTTGGAAACTTTGAAGTCAATGAAGCTGAATCAGGTCTCTCAGCAACTGTAAAGTTACGGTCAATGAAGCTGAACAGGTTTCATTTAAATCATGAAAATAAGGAAATCAGGTTTTATTTATTTTTTAACCAGAAGACAAAGCCCTGTTACGGACTTTGACTAAAAGAGTCAACTGAAAAAACAAACCAAAAAAACCAATCCACCTATTTCAACAAATATTTACTGGACTGGTCCCTGCTGTCAGGGTGCTCAGAGCTTTGTAGGTAAGACAGGTAAGTGAGCTGGCAGTTGTTAAGTACCCATAGAAGGAGTAGAAGATGCTGGAGACACAGGACCAACCTTCACTTGACCTTGGCAGGTTATTTCTCCTCCCATCTCCAACCCACTTTGAGCATCAGTTATGGTCCCTGCCTGAAAGGTTTTTAGTAGAAATTTCAAAGCAGTGAGATAGTCATGCTTATAATAACGAAACCTGACTTCACCTATTAGGGGACAGCATTTTTATTTTTATTTATTTATTTTTTTGAGATGGAATTTCACTCTTGTCATCCAGGCTGGAGTGCAATGGCGTGATCTCCGCTCACTGCAACCTCCACCTCCTGGGTTCAAGTGATTCTCCTGCCTCAGCCTCCTGAGTAGCTGGGATTACAGGTGCCTGCCACCATGCCTGGCTAATTTTTGTATTTGCAGTAGAGACGGGGTTTCACCATGTTGGCCAGGCTGGTCTTGAACTCCTGGTCTCAAGTGATTTGCCCGCTTCAGCCTCCCAAAGTGCTGGGATTACAAAGCATAAGCCACCACGCCCGGCCAGGGAAAGCATTTTTATTACTGGCTAGGAAAACCTTGTTTCAATAAAACACTGCCACACACTGTTACACAATATATAAATACAAAAACAGGTTGTACAATCCCTATCAATCATCTAATATTTGTCACTTCCCAGACCTCATTAGTTTGATGACGACTTAAATTTGGATTTCACAATTTTTCAGAATTAGAACTCTAATGTGGAGGCAACCATCATTCCTCCTGGAGATAGTATCTGTGAGTTTCAGGTAAACTCAATATGCCTTTCTCTTGTCACATCACTGGCCCTTTGCCCCTCCTGCTGGGAATGTATTGTATTCAGGCACCATCACATGCAAGTCCAAGTAAATAAGTAGCTGAGGGCAGAAGTTATGATTAAGCTGTGTCTCAGGTGAAGGAAAACAAGTGTTACACTGTGGTTCAGTCCAAGAGGGTATGTTCCCTTCTACTTACAGTGGTGAGTCCCTGTGTTTGAGTCTACTTACATGTTAATCTAAGCTAAAGGCATAAAAATATGTCACTAAGCTTCCTTATGGTAGCAGAAGTAGAGGTAGTTTTATATCTACCATTATTTTTTAAGAAGTCTCTGATCATTTTAAAGCCACAGTCTTGACCAACAAAGGTTTAGAAGAGTCTTGAAGATAGGATATGTTTCATCAGAGGGTCTTCATAGAATAAATTCCTGGAAATGGGATTGTTGTGGTCATGGGTGCGTCTCTGAAAGTAGAGTGTTGCTGAAACCCTGTAGTGAAAACCAGGTTGGCATCTGGATTCACCAAGATCTGGGGCCTCATAGGCGTTTGTTTTCAGAGGGCTGCCTGCTCAGTGGCTCCGTGGCTGGCAGACACTCTTTGGAAAGCAAAGAGCTGGGCTATAGAGATGGAAGAGGGCTGGACAGCAGCCATAGTACAAATAAAGAGAGGCCTCACAGGGACCAAAAGAAGGAAATAGAATGGAGTGTGGAAGTACAAGAGTGAGCAATGGAGACAGGATGGCTGGGAAACCCTTTAGCTTCTCCAATTTCATAAACTCGGAATCTCCCAAATTAGATTTTTATAAGTCAAGAAGAATGACCTTCCATTTACAATTCTGATACATATATTTTTGTTTGGACAACCATACATTTCATTTATCTATCTACATATTTATTTCTGAATAGGCACTATAAGCATAAGTATAAAATTTAAAAGTTACAAATAGAAAAACAAATTTCTTTTTACCCCTGTTTCATGGTGACCCAGTTTCTCTCCACAAAGGCACCTGCTCTTCCCAGCAACTTGTGTGTCCTTCCTGGGAGAGTCTGTGCACATATCAGCATGTGCATTTTTGAAGTACAAAGGATAGATAGCATGCTATTCTACGCCTTGCTTTTTTTTTTTTTTTTTTTACTTATTGTACCTTGGTGCTCTTTCCCTGTCAGTACCTATAGATCTTCCTCATACTTTTTAAATGACTGCATAAAGTTCCATTGTGAGGATGAACTGTTATTTTACCAGTTCCTTATTGACGGGGCATGTAGGTGGATTCCAGTCTTTTGCAAATACTAACAACATTGCACAAATGTCCTTATATGTTTATAACGTGTGAATAATTTTCTGGAAATGGAACTGCTGCATCAAAAGGTATATGATAGAAAAAACGTTACAGCTATTGCCAAATTGCCCTCAGTAGACATTTTGTGATTCACACCCAAATATACAACAGTGTTTATGTCTTCTCACTAATAAAGTGTTAGCCTTAAAAATATACATATTTTGAAGTACCTAATAGCTGGCACACAAAATAACAATAATCATTTTAATCATGACAAGTGCTAAACTTTTTGATCTTTGCAAATGTAAAAGGCTAAAAAATATTCCACTACAGTTTTCATTTGCATTTTCTTCTTAAGAGTAAAGCTGAGTGTGTTTCCATATATCTAAGCGCTTATTAAAATTTTTCTTGTTTTGTGAATTAGTTGTTTGTATGTACATTTTGCCAATTTATCTAATGGTTTGCTGTCACTCAGGCTGGAGTGCAGTACAGTAGCACAATCTCAGCTCACTGCAACCTCTGCCTCCCAGGTTCAAGTGATTTTCCTGTCTCAGCCTCCTGGGTAGCTGGGATTACAGCTCAGGGGTTTGTGATTGTGCCACCGCACTTTACCCTGGGTGACAGAGTGAGACCCTGTCTCAACAACAAAAAATGGCAGCTACTGAGGAGGCAGATAGGGGATGGGAGAGGTGGGATTGAGATCATTATACAGTTTTAATGAGTTATGGTATTTTGGTAAGCATTTAAACAATTTTAAAAGTTTTATTCATATCCTTGTAGCAAAGATGTAAGGTACAGAGTGGATAATAAAAATCAGTGGATTTACTATCTTCAAATGTTTGAACTCTTACTATGTGTAAAACCTCATAGCAGATTTTATGTTCTCAAAGGACTTAGGCTTTACTGGGAACTTAAGTTTAGTACATAAAAAAAGAACAAAACATGTCGTAAAGGATATTGTGTCATAAAGAAGGTGTCTAAGGAATTCAGAAACCTCT